TGTCATCAGCCAAGACCATATCAGAGGCCATCTTGGCCACGTCGGTTCCGGTGCCCATGGCCACACCAATGTCAGCCTTCTTGAGAGCAGGAGCGTCATTGACACCGTCACCGGTCATAGCGACGACGTGATTCAAAGACTGGAGGAGATCAACAAGCTTGGATTTGTGGGTAGGCTCAGTGCGCGAGAAAAGGGAAGCGGTCTGAACGGCCTTCATCTGTTCACTTTCACTGAGACTGTCGAATTCACGGCCTGTATAGCTCTTGCCAGTGAGATCCTCGTCAGTTCCGAACACACCAATTGAGCGACAGATAGACTCGGCAGTATTGCGGTTATCACCAGTGATGACGATAACACGGATTCCGGCAGCGTGGCACTTCTTGATAGAAGCAGCAACCTCGGGGCGAGGGGGATCCAACATTCCGACAAGACCAATGAGAGTCATGTTCTGTTCTAGCTTGGTGTAATCCTCGGTGGTGGTGGCGTTCTTCAAAAGGGGGTTTCCAGAGATACCGTCGACGCTTGCGATGGCCATGACACGGAGACCACGGTTACCGTACTCAACAACTTCCTCGGAGAGAAGCTTCAAGTGGTTCTGGGTCACAGGAACGCGAGATCCGTTGGCGCCTTGAATAACGTGCGAGCAGCGGTCCAGAATGCTTTCAGGAGCACCCTTGACCAGCAACTTTTGTTCCTTGCCCTCGCCAACGAGGACAGACATACTCTTGCGGTCACGGGAGAACTCATAGGTAGCCTTGAGAGGGAGACGGGACTCGTAGTGAGCGCTGGCAGCATGTAATCTTTCAGACGCAGGGAGGCGATAAAGCTTCTGGTTCAGGGCGACATCGGTAGATCCAATTTTCTCAACTAGAGTACGCAGGGCTCCCTCAGTGGGCTCACCGATGCTGGAGAAGACTCCACTCTTGGCATCGTGGGAAAGAGTAGCGGCGTTGCAAAGAGCACTGACCTCGGCCAACTGTGCGACAGTCGATGAAGAAACAGCCAAGTTCTCGACAACCTTGCCATTCTGGGTGAGTTTGCCCTCGGGAGTAAAAGTAGTGCCTTCGACGTCGATTTCCTCAAGGCCAGTGCCAGAGCTAGTCAGGTAAACGATCTTCTCAACACTCATCTGGTTAGTGGTCAAGGTTCCAGTCTTGTCAGAGCAAATCACGCTGCAGCTGCCCAGGGTTTCGACGGAGGGAAGAGACCGGACAACTGCGTTCTTTTGAGCCATTTTGCGGGTACCCAGAGCCAGACAGGTGGTAATGACCACTGCCAGACCCTCCGGAATAGCGGCCACACCAAGAGAGACGGCGATCTTGAGATAGTAGATAGCACCCTTGGTCCAGCCACCGAACGCGGGGTCGTTGAAGTTCTCATAGTTGATGACCCAAACCAAGACACAGATGATGGTAATAACCTTGGCGAGCACGTCACCGAAGTCATTCAGCTTCTTCTTCAAGGGGGTGGGCTCGGAGATCTGGGACGTGATGCTTTCGTGAATATCTCCAATGGCAGTTGAGCCACCGGTCAACACGACCAGAGCCGTAGCGTGACCGTTGACAACGGTAGTACCAGAGAAAAGCATGTTGAGCTGGTCCTGCTTGACGGCCTGCTCATCCTTGATAGCGCGGGTCTCCTTTGCAACACTTTCACTCTCACCAGTCAGAATAGCCTGGTCGACGCGGAAGCTGTTGCTCTGAATGGCGAGCAGTCGGCAGTCGGCGGGGATACGGTCACCGACAGCAACTTGGATCACATCTCCGGGAACCAAATCTTCGGCCTTAATCTTTCGCGTCATTCCATCACGGATAACCTTGGCCTCGTTGGCTGAATATTCCTGGAGAGCTGAAATCGCCTTTTCTGCGCTACTTTCTTGGGTCACTCCGACCACAGCGTTAAGGATGAGGATGGTAAGGATCTGTGAATCAAGTCGTGGTCAGGAAAATAGAACACATAGGTTTGCAGATGGAATGTACAATATCCAGGAACTTACAACAGCGGGGTCCACGAATGCGGTCCAATCGTCACTCTCTTCAAAGAGAGCTAGCACAAATGACACGGCGGCCGAGCCAAGAAGAATAAGAACCAATTGGTCCTTGAATTGCTCCAAAATTAGCTCCCACATGGGAGTCGGAGGTTCTTCCGGAAGAGCTAAGTAAATAGCAGATGTCAGTTCTGACGATGTCATCATTCTGTAGCGGGGTGTGTACTAACCGTTTGGTCCATACTGTTGTCTGGACCTCACGACCGCGTTCTGCGACAGACCGGTCTGCTCCGACACCTTGAAGTGCTCCAGCGACTCGGCTGGAGTACGGAGAAAGGCGTTCTCCATGATCGCGACACCCTCAACGGCAATAGGCAGGATCAATTGCGATAGCCGTAGAGGTGATAAATAATAGTTGGGGTAAACAAAAAAAAAGAAATGGGTGACAGTTGTCAAGATAGTTACATGCCCGGTGTAACAAAGAGTCGAAAAGAGAGGAAAAGCCCAAGAGCGAAGGGCCAGGTGATATAAAAAAGAAAAAAAGACCAGGGAAGCAAGAAATAATGAAGATCGAAGACCGAATGGGGAATCTCCAGTGGGGGAAGTCAACGTGTTCTCATCCATTTGATTCCAGGGGCTGAGTAAGCACGGGCCCCGCCCTGCCCAGGTGCTCAGGTGGGTGGAGCTGGAAGCCCCCGGGGGGTCTACAGGGCTGAAGGGCGGGTCTCTGCCAATTCTCCGCTATGTTTTCTTTTCCTTTCTTTTCTCTTCTTTTTTCTTCGGTATCTTTTATTAACTATTCATTATAAGGTACTTTAAGTACATCCTATGGAATATATACTTGATGCTTTCAAGGTTGACTCACTTGGGCATAGTTCTCTTACTATACCATTTTTTCTTCTCGGAGTGTATTGGAGCCTCTTGTAGGGCCTCCAACGTCATGCCAATTCCCCAACCAACATGGTTGATTGGGGCATCTCTAGGCTGCATCGTTTTTTTGCCTATCTATCCGTCTTGGCAACTTGGGTCCTCTGCAGACACCGTAGCCCAAAATGGGTATCAAGTCTTCTAAATCCACCTAATTGACTCCTCGCTAGTCTCTTATAGCTAGGTTCTGTGTTATGACTATAGCTCTGGACGCGTGTTCGGTTTTCCCCAGGCCAAGATATTATTAAATCGAACCTACTCGATCCACTTGTGATTAGGGATTGCAAACCCGAGATCTTCAAGGCTAAAGCACAGTCCCTGCTAGATGCGTGAAATGTGGGCATCTCCATAAGCACGCTAACATATCCTTGCCTATAGGGCTGACACTAAAAGCGAAAAGTCCAGTGTTGCATCACTTACCTATTTATCATCTCTTCCACCCTCGGTGATATGCCCTTCAAACAAATACCTATACCCAATTGATACTTATCACCTGGGATCCTTTTCTTCATGGTTATGCCTGCATGTAGGTTTATTTAGTATATCTGAAGTTTCTTTTTAGCTATATTCTGGGCATTCTTTCATAGTGCAATACTTAACAAATAACCGACAGTGTAAGCATTCCCCCTCAAGAGTACTATGGTAACAAATAAACTGAAATCACTGGACAGTTTCTAAAACCAACTTAATTTTAAAATTATACCTGCTAATATAATACTACCAGATAATAGTGATTCAACGTGAGCTTTTAGTTTCAAGCTTTTGGCAGCCATATTAGGAGGAAAACAAAATCCAGTCTCGTAAGGTTTGTTGTGCGCTCACCGATTAACTGGACGATATGATTAATCAGATACTTCTAACCTTCCAGGTGTCCAAGTTGAAATGATCAACATGTGGATACTAAACAAGAAACTACCTTGAAAGTGTAGCACCTCTTTGCTTTTTGCTCTTTTTCGGTTTTTTTCAGTCCTCTTCTACATGTCTATTATTATATGTCTTTTGCTCCTTCGGATCGAGTAAAATAATAGTAACAGAATAAGCATTGAGAACAAGCAACACTCCAAGTATATCCTCCACTATTGGTCAATTCATTATAGCTTTGGCATTATATAGTTTGACCGCAAATTCCCACTTGTTCATTGAAGACCCCTAGATGGAAGGAAATGGCACTATGCTAACTATGCTTGTTATAGAAAGGTGTCTGTTGAGGGGGAAAGTAGTAGATATCTGAAGAGAAGTAATGTTAACATTTTCGTTTGAATATGTTTTGCCTAAATGTAGTCCAAACCGTGGGATTATTTGAATCACAGCATTGAATAGAAGACTTCTGATACTTGGCGACTTAATTCGAGTGATCAACTACATCATAACTGGCTTTGTTGTCTGGAAGGTTCCAAAGACACTTGCATCATTATCATCCCTAGACTTCCAAGGTTGTGGTATCGATATGCTTTCAGGCCCCTTATATCCCAGGAGACAATCAAGACAATCAAGATGGTACCTCCAGAGCTAATTTAGAAATTGTAGGTACCTAGGTATGTTTTCTGATCATTGGAGTTAACAGAGTAACAGTACCGGTCGCAGTCTCTGAAGAAAGGGGATTATAACCCCCATAGACATATCGAAGGGAAGTCTAGGTACAAATCGGCCATAGAATCAAATCCAATATCGTATATCATAGCTATTTGATCCACGTGTCCAATATCTCCTAAAAGGAGAGTGAATACCGTCTACTCCGTAATGTTAGTCTAATATTAGCTGGACTTGGTAACAAATACGGTCAGATATACCCCACCCCGCGCAAATTAATCAGTTATTAAGGGGATCGACCGTAAAATGAATACTGGGCCGCGGCCCAAGTACCGGAGTACTTCCACAGAGCGGTGCCACAATAGGGGAAGCTAGGTACTGGGTACAAGAGAACAACGTATTATTGTTATGATCCAAATCCCCCCAACTCACCTCACTCCATCTCTCTCCCCCCCACTTGGTCGTCTCTACCCATCTTCTTCTTCTGCATCTCGCGCTTCCTATCTCTTTATTTTAAGTCTCAAGTTCTAACCACCCATCTCGATTCAATTTCACAATGGGTTCTGAGGTACGTTTGTTGTCCCCTTTTATCGGGCACTCTCTTGAGTTGTCACCGCCATCGCAATCCCACATTCCCATCCTCGTCTGAGCTCACCCCCCATCTGGAATTTTTGTCGATAAGAACTGGGCTAACAAGTATTCTTACTATGCAGCGTGAGAAGTATGTCTATTATCGCCCCTATCTCTGAAACCCCATGGCCCGACATGACTGACCCCTCACCAGCAAGACGTTCCTCGCGCGGCTCTGCGAGCAGGCCGAGCGTTACGATGGTAAGTTGGCATGCGATCGTTGGTTGGACGTGTATACTGACGTGTCGCTCTTTGCTTTTCAGAAATGGTCACCTTCATGAAGGTTAGTCGCGCCCCCTCATCTTGTTTACTTGGGAATCCATGCTAACCGTCGAACAGGAAGTCGCCAACGTATGACACCATCATCCCCCCATCATCTTCGGGATTAATTTTAGGGTATTCGCGATTAACACATATCTAGATTGGTGGTGAGCTCACCGTCGACGAGCGTAACCTGCTTTCCGTCGCCTACAAGAACGTGGTTGGCACCCGCCGTGCCTCCTGGCGCATCATTTCTTCCATCGAGCAGAAGGAGGAGAACAAGGGTTCCGAGGAGCACGTCAGCATCATCCGCGATTACCGTCAGAAGATCGAAACCGAGCTGGAGCAGGTGTGCCAGGATGTGCTTGATGTTCTTGATGAGGCTCTCATCCCCAAGGCCGAGACTGGAGAGTCCAAGGTCTTCTACTACAAGATGTGGGTTACACTCCAATCCACGTTACTTTGGAGACTTTAGATTTGGGAAATGGTGCTGACTTATCAAACAGGAAGGGCGATTACCACCGCTACCTCGCCGAGTTCGCTTCCGGCCCCAAGCGCAAGGGTGCCGCCACCGCTGCCCACGAGGCCTACAAGGTAAATTACCATCATTTCGGCTTATTGTCATAGGCCTTCTCTTTTGCAATGAACAGCTGTTGATCGTGTCACAGAACGCCACCGACGTTGCCCAGACCGAACTTACCCCCACTCACCCCATCCGCCTGGGTCTTGCCCTGAACTTCTCCGTTTTCTACTACGAGATCCTCAACTCCCCTGATCGTGCTTGCCACCTTGCCAAGCAGGCATTCGACGATGCCATTGCAGAGCTCGACTCCCTCTCCGAGGAAAGCTACCGCGACAGCACTTTGATCATGCAGCTGCTGCGCGACAACCTTACTCTCTGGACCTCATCTGAGGGCACCGAGGGCGAGAGTGCCGCCAAGGAGGAGAAGTCTGAGGAGGAGCCCGCTGCCCCTGCTGCTGCTTCCACCGAGGCCGCTGCTCCTGCCGAGGAGAAGCCCGAGGAGGCTAAGCCCGCCGAGACTGAAGCCTAAAGGAACATTAGGGGTCGCGACGAGCCGTATGCCGTTTGGTAGGGTGGGCGTTCGCATTTATTCCTGGACGTGGTTATGAAAGTCGCTTCTTTGTTTTCACTGCAGCGCTGGGTTGGACCGGCAGGTATCTTGCACGTCTTCGGGACCGTGTGGGTCGGCCGGCGGAGTTTGATATTCGGTTGACGCGAGCAGAAAAGGGGCTGAGTGGAAATTTCTCTCTCTTTTATTGTCTCTATTCCCACTCCAGCACGTTTCAATGTGTTTATTTTCCATTCCACTCCGGGCTTCTTTACCTGACATGCACCCTGTGTTGGGATGCTTGCGTAGCCAATGATTCCCCTTTTACCAGTATTCATGAATGAAGTATGAGCCGATACAAGAGTAGTTACTGGTCCTTTACACGGACTAGCCTGTTTATTAGTCCCAAAGGTCTGGAGAAATCTGCAAAACCAACATATATATTTTAACGCTTCAAAACTTATAAATTCCCACTGTTTTCCCTCAGTAGTGCTATTGCCTACTTAAAGCTACTACCATCAACTCGGAACATCTAAGCCTCATCACTAGGACAAAACCAGCACGCGATCAACCTCCAAGGCAAAGATACCACTACGTCCAACAATCCCAACCCAAAAGGAACGCCACAGAAGACGCCATCCCACCAAGCGCCGAAATGCAGAACCAACATCATCGGGGACCAACATCCCTCAAACGATTCGCGATTTGTCGGACCCAGACAGTAACACTACCGGGGACAATGAGGCTAACAATCCCCAGCCCGCTATCTCCCATCGTCGAAGCGAACTTCACCAAACCACACGTTTTCCCACTAACGAGAAGCAACCAATCGAAACTGAGATTGTTGAGCGCCACGGGAGGGGGTCCGGGCACCTGCTAGAATATGGCAGCCAAGCAGGTGGGCATGCATGTAATGCATGTAATCTTGGTGTGGTGATAGGAGCGCAGGGAAACGTCACGGGGGCAAGGCGGTATTGTTGACGAATGGTGGCTGGGGCGCGTTGATGAGGTGGTCTTGTCGTACTGTGATTGGTTTTGTTGGCTACTTCCCGCATGCGTGTATATCTCTATGGTGTTGCACGTTGGGCATATGTTGTCTAGCAACGTTTTTTACACTGCCTGGGGCGATTTAGATGGGTTTTATAGGGAGTCTGTATTTCTTGGATATCTAATTGTGGATTACATAGGACCGAAATATTGATTTTGTTCTGATATAGACATGAACTCATCTAGAACCTTTATTCACGATATAATACCAACCGTGACGATTCACCCTATAGTATCTCACTCATACATGGTGTCCACTCCCTTGGATTCCGACTCGTCTAGAAAAGCTGTCAGCTGTGGATTTAGGAGATCAAGACAGCTAGAGGACAAACATATGCATACGAAACGGAGTGGAAAGAAGCTAGCCCGGATGCACAATGCTTGCATCCGTTGTCGAATCAATCGAGGAGTATGTCTAGGATTGCCGCGCGTCAAGCAATCGATAGAAGATATTGGGTCATTTGGACTGTGATTCTGATTTATGTTTGTCCCAAGGCCCTATCAGGACTCTTAGTCCTATTTTTTTGCTTGGTTCTTGGCAACGGCTGGGATGAATGCATGCTCTTGTTGTCGATCTCTTCTACTACCTGTTCCAATCGTAATCGAAGATGAGAGGATAGTCCGAAAATCCCATAACGACGGTAAATTGTTTCAATTATATCCTAAGAAATGGTAAAAAGAGCATAGTTACAACCTGAAGAGGCCATAGACAAGTCTATCTTTGAAGCCATACAAATGAAGCAAAGTATGCATGTCGATGTACATATACCAAGTTTGCCCGGAGATTTCCTATATGCATGTATGTTAGAGACTGCCATATGACCCAACCAGCGAATCCTAGAGCGTTACATACATATATAGTATGCATGATTATATCGCCCTGTTATACGGACCCTATCATGCAAGTAAAGATTGGCAGATGCACTGGGATTAGAATCTTGTTTGAGATGCCTTTCTCGATTGTCCCCTGAACTGTACCCGACTCCATGCTATCGGGATATCCCAAAGATCCCCGGGATGTATGAGGTAAAAGCAATGCATGTAGTCAAGTCCACTTCTTTTTGCAAATGGGTTATATAACCGGACATAGAGGACACAAACGAGCAATCTTTTGATTAGAGAAAACCAAAAGAACAATCCATTCCACTGCAAAAAACACAAAATCCCAAACAATGACAATCCCACAATCCCTCCCCCTCGAACCAAACGCCCTTTATATCCTCCTCCTCGGCCTAGGCGGCAGCTGTCTCTTCGAATGGAAACTATACCTCACCTCAACGCCCACAACCGCGAAAACCTTCCACATAACTAACGAGGCAGGCCCGGTAGTCTGGCAATACAAATGCGAAGCTGTGTACGACATATCAAGTAACACGCGAGTGGTGCTAGCGCTGCAAATTGGTGTCGTTGGGCCCGTGCTACACGCCGCACTGGGGACACGTCTGGCACTCGTTCCGTTAGCGCTGTACTCGACTCGATTCCGAGAGAGCCTCTGCGGCCGTGTGTGGGTCCATGAGGCGCTGTTTGCGTTGGATGATGAGGGATATCTTGGTCTTGCGAGGAGTGTTGTGGATATTGAGCAGGAGGCTAGACAGCTTGGGATGCTGAATAAAAGTCGGAGGACTAGGTCGGTGGTTAGGAGTGAGGCGTTTGTTGGTTAGCTTTCAATCGTAATGGGTAATTATTAGCTGAGTGTGTTATAATTGATACAGGCGAGGTAATATAATAATCGGAATGGATTGGGTCTTTCTATAAGTTACTTGTGCCCAAGCATTTGAGATAGAAGAGGATGTACAGAGCGAGGATTTGGAAAAAGTAGGAAAAGAATATATAGAAGGGTAACATTGGACCCAGTAGAGATAACCTGCGTATAGGTGAGGCAGGGCTAAAAGAAGATCTACGATCTTCCTTTAAAATGCATATTTTCGAGGATCAAATCCAGGGTAAAGTAAAACAATTCAAATGGAGACTAGTCGTCCGTATTCACATTCACATAAAGTCATCATCCCCAAGATCATCATCACCCTGGTAGTTGGTGTTATCGATATGGGGGTCGCGGCTAGCATTCAGCGAGATCTTGGTCTTCGCCGCCTTGGACTTCTTATTGCCCTTGTCAGCAGCACGCTCCTCGCGCATCTTCTCATTGGAAGCAGTGGTGAGAGCACTAGCAATCTTCTTGATCTCAGCACTGGGCAAATCCTTCACAAGCTTGCGGGCGAAGTCCTGGGCCCAGAGAGAGTAGTGAGGCTTCTTGGAGTGGGGGTGAGGAGCGGCACAAGGGCCTCGGTCAGGCGGGTGAACTGGTCCTTGGTGACGGGCTTGAACAGCGGCATGGCGGACAGATCGATGGACTTGGTAGGGTCGGCTGAGTCGCTGATAACGATGGCCTTGGGGGCACCCTTGTTGGGCTTGACATCAACAGAGCCGAAAAGATCCTCGGCGTGGGCAAGATCGGCTTCCTGCTCAGTCTTGCGCAGACGAGCGCGGCGGTCTGCCTCGTCCTCGCTCTCGGATTCGCCGGTGCCCTCCTCGAGTCGGCGACGCTCCCGGAGCTCCTCTATCCGCTGAGCTTTGGTCTTCTTGTTGGCGGCGGCGGCGGCCTTAGCCTTGGCCTCGGCTTCGGCGGCCTTCTTGGCCTTCTCGCGCTCTACCTCGGAGTCTTCAGCGGCATCCCATGAGTCAAGGACCTATCATTCGGGTTCGGTTAGTTTGTTGGACTCGGCGCGAAAGTGAGGGCCCTGCTGGGCAGATTCGAGGTTGTGTTGCCTTACATCTTCTTCCTCTTCATCGTCGAAGCGGCGGCGGGGAGCGGCAACAATAGGAGGCGCAGGGCTCTCCTCTTCTTCTTCGTCTGTGTTGAAATCAAAGGATTAGCAACCGCAACATGGATCGGAACACGAGCTAAGTAATTGTGGCAATCTCTATAGAAGGCATTATTACAAGGATAATAACATACCCCACTTGGAAGGCGGCATTTTGAGCGATATAAGACCTCGTTGGTATGAGAGAAGTGAAAGAACGTAATGCGCTATACGCAAGGCTAAAAGGAACAAGCCAACACAATCGGACCCAGCAAAGGATGGAGGGGCGAGGGCAAATTTTATGTGGGACACACTTATCGTCCCCCAGGTGGGATGTGCACGTGATCTCGGGCATTCAATGCCCGATGAGCATGATGTTTCTTGATGGATTACGCTTCTTTTACGACTTATTTTCTAATTTATCAAATGGTGGAAATTTGTTTTCATTGAAAAAGATCCTATTAAATTCATAATCATCATGGGCGATGGTTCCGTAGATCATCAAACCATCGTTTTTGATGGGCCCTCATCAGGCCCGATCTATGCTGCCAGAAGGCTGCATTTACAGGTTGACAGCAGTGCGGAACTTCTCGCCAGCGTAGATAGCGTTAGCACCAAGCTCCTCCTCAATGCGGAGGATCTGGTTGAGCTTGGCAAGACGCTCGGAACGGGCAGGGGCACCGGTCTTGATCTGACCGGCGCGGAGGCCAACAGCGATGTCAGCAATGGTGACATCCTCGGTCTCACCGGAACGGTGGGAGACCATGACACCCCAGCCGTCGGCGTAGGAGTCCTTGGCAGCCTGGATAGACTCGGTGAGGGTACCGATCTGGTTGACCTTCAGGAGAAGGGAGTTGCAAGACTTGAGCTCAATGGCCTTCTTGATGCGCAGAGGGTTGGTGACAGTCAAGTCATCACCGACAATCTGGAAGTCGGAGGTCTTGTAGAAGTAGCTCCAGGCCTCCCAGTCGTCCTCAGCGAAGGGGTCCTCGATGGAGACAATGGGGTACTTGGCAGCGAGGGACTTGTAGAGGTCGGCAAGCTGCTCGTAGGTGAGCCACTTGGTGGGGTCGCTCTCGGGGTTCTTGAAGTCAAGATCGTACTTCTTGGCGTCCTCCTTGTAGAACTCGCTGGAGGCAACATCCATGGCGATCTTGATCTGGCCAGTGTAGCCAGCCTGCTCAATGGCATCGGTGATGAGGTCAAGAGCCTCCTCAGCGGTCTGAATATCAGGAGCGACACCACCCTCATCACCGACGTTACCGGCGGACTGACCGTACTTCTTCTTGGCGAGGGTCTTGAGCTTCTGGTAGACCTCGGAACCCTGGCGGAGGGCCTCGGAGAAAGTGGGAGCAGTGCTAATGTTGGGTCAGTTTACAGTTGCAATGCGGTTCGAGGCTGGAAGACCTACTCGGGAACAATCATGAACTCCTGGAAGGCGAGACGGCCACCGGCGTGGGAGCCACCGTTCAGGACGTTCTGGAAGGGAACGGGCAGGACGAAGGGCTTCTTGGTTCCGGCAAGGTCGGAGATGTGAGCGTAGAGGGGAACACCCTTCTCAGCGGCAGCAGCCTTGGCAATGGCCAGAGAGACACCGAGGATGGCGTTGGCACCGAGCTTGCCCTTGTTGGGGGTACCATCGAGCTTGTTCAGGAACTCGTCGACCTTGGCCTGCTCCTTAACATCGAGGTTCTCCTTGATGAGGGCGGGGCCAATGACCTCGTTGACGTTCTTGACGGCATTGAGGACACCTGAATTGAGATGAAGATATCAGTTTCTGATTACTTGTTGCTGTGTCAACCGGGTTCTTTTCACTTACCCTTACCACCCCACTTGGCCTTGTCACCATCGCGGAGCTCAACGGCCTCGTGCTGGCCTAGGAAGTTAATGTTAGCAATCTAGTCCAGTCTTTCTTTTTTTTCAATAGCCAGAAGTCAAGGAGCACAAACCAGTGGAAGCACCGGAGGGGACAATGGCGCGGTGAAGACCGGTCTCGGTGACAACATCCACCTCAACGGTGGGGTTGCCGCGCGAGTCGTACACGGAGCGAGCGTGGATCTTAGAAATAGGCATGTTGGAATTGGACAGGCTGATTATAGTTTTCAGTCAGTTGAAAGAAAGGAGAAAAAGAGGATCTGGGCTGATATATGGCAAAAGCAGCAGGTGACTAACGGCGGGGGAGGTTCACCGATGACCCAAAAAGATTGGGCGGGAAGAGGTAAGAAGGATATGATTTGCTTGGAGAGGTAAACGGGGGCAAGTTCCTACTACGATCACCGGTAGGTCTTTTGGTTCTATTCCTTTCCAGAAAGACGTATAGTCACGTTGTAGGGGGGATGTCCACGGGTGTATGTTGTATGTTTGGAGGGGTAGAGAGTGGTGCTATAGCGGGGTATATGATGGGATGATGGTGATGTTATGATGTTATGATGCTATATTCAACTTACCTGTTTTTTTAAAAAGAAACAACTTGATAAAATAGAAAAGACCTTCTACGGAGACACCCGACTACTTAAATAATTTCCCCCAGAGAAACCCCGGGAAAGCTCATTGCTGCTCCGATTCTTTCCAATGCAACAGTGGGGCTCCCACGGCCGTTCTCCAGCACTTGCTGGCTGATCCGACCTTATGCGGCCTCTGTAGCTACGAGATCTCCCGTCCCTCGGAAGATATTAGATGAATACCGTTCTCCCGATACACATGTCCTGTTACAGGATCTCCCGATGCACATGCCATGTTATAAGGACGTGCACACCATACGGCATACCCCTCTACCCCTCCACTATGCATTTAGTCTACAACTTGCAAGTAGATAACTCCTTGCTTGTATGGAGTGATGATACCCTAGTACATAAATTCAAACCAATGACAAGAAAGTATCTTACGTAGTATTCATTCCAACCTTCCAATGTTGTAAGGTCCCATTCTGATTTTGGACGAAGACAGCAGTTGCCGCCTGATTGCTAAGGCCAAGCTATCTCGGACCGTGCTCCGGGTTAATAATCTTCCCCTCCGGACTATTTCCCATTATCAATCATCCCGAGCATTTTGTCAACATAGCGTCTCAATCAAAATACATCCAAGTATTTGAATAAAGAGGCATCACAATGGCGCTCAAGAGAAATGTGGCTATAGAAAGACTAAAATATTTATGTAGGAAATACATAGAGACCAAAGGGAGAAGAATGAAGAGATCCAAGAGAACCTAGAGTAACAGCTCAAACATATGTAGGCTAAAGCTAAAAAAAAATGAACCGCTTTCCAAGGTCATCATCGCGATATTATCAACGAATGATAGCAACTTTGGAAGGACAACACGGATTCAAACTCATTGCCATATACTGTTCCAATCCTCTGCCTGAGGTGTCTAGTGATGACCAAGATTATGACATAAGGCAGCTCCAAGGTCATGTGATCATCTCTCATGGACGCCGCGCTGGAAGCTGGAAGCTCCCCAGGCAAGGTGCTATCGCCCTTTTCAATCACCATATCCATCCATTTCGCATCCACGACCTTAAACGAACCCCCTGAATTCATACCTGAATTACAGCTCCCCTTTGGCTACTGTCCCCACTCGTCCACACTCGGTGAATCTATCGTCCGTCCTTCATCATGAGCGACCCGGAGCGCGGCCAGGCGCTCGAGGACTATAAAAAGAGCTTGCTCGAGCTACGAGAATGGGAAGCCAAGTTGAAAACCCTCCGCTTGGGTATCAAGGATCTCCAAAGAGAGTTTGATGTCTCCGAGGATAACATCAAGGCACTACAAAGTGTTGGTCAGATCATCGGCGAGGTGCTGAAGCAGCTCGACGAAGAGCGATGTAAGCATCCGAGGCTCAAGCTTTTTGCTTCAATGATCGC